ATATATATATATATATACATATATATAATGATTATTTATAATAGAAATTAAAAAATAAAAAAGTTTGTTCATATCTTGAGCTATATGCTCTTCGCCTCACCTCCAATGAGAGCGCGCAGTCTTTTATCAAGCTTCATAACGTATATATATGACATACAATCATATATGCATACCAAGCATGGTGTTTGCCAGTGTTTGTTTCACGCGTCTGCAATCTGCATCCGAGTCGTGGATCATCGTAAACAATTTTTAATGTCATTACGATACTGTTTCCTGTAACTTACGAGATGTCCGTGCCCGAGAAAGTACTAATGCGAAAAATTAAGAAACGAGAGAAGACAAAATTAACGGTGCTAAAACGGCGGGAGGAGCAAAAAGGGAAAAAAAAAAACGTTTTGAGGTTAACTCTCGTTGAGGTTAACTCTCATGTGTGAAAGCATATCTGAATAATGAGATTTGTGTTAATTTTGTTCAGGAAAATTATTTGTCAAAGTTAATGGTCGTTTAATGTCGATTTTTTTGTTTTTTCGCTATATATATATATATATAATATATATATATATATGTACCTATATATATGTATATCTATCATTATTTATTTTAAATAAAACGCTTCTGTTACAGATGCAATCAAATCAGAAGAAATACCTGAGATAAGTCAGCAAAGCGCAAAGGATATTTCTCTAAAAAGTTTGTATAAGTTATTCTAACTTGTTTTTATAATTTTTCAAATTATTTTAAACATACTTAGTAATCTATCTTCTCTTTTATTGAGAAGTTAATAATACTGGTTGCAGAATTAATCATACCTGCATTTTCCATTTTATTACACAATTATTAACAATTATTATGGAATAATCCATTTATCTTTTTTAGAAAATATGAAATTTAAAGTGCCTGAGAAAAGTGAAGAGGCTGAGGTAACTAAACAACCTCCAGCTGAAACTAGGAATTGTACGTACTTCTGATATGATTATTCTAATAAGTGAAAGATATTTGAACGCTGTCTAATAACATATGTTAAAAATATATGTTTATATATTTTTATTTAGTACCTGGCACAGCTGTAGGTTTTGAGGTGACAAACGATACAACCTTCTCAGTATTGAGCGAGAAAGTGTGCGAAAATACACTGAAGGCGATAAAGGATATGGGTTTTACGAATATGACTGAGATACAAGCGAAAGCTATTCCATCTCTTCTGGAGGGAAGAGATTTGGTTGGCGCAGCCAAAACCGGATCCGGCAAAACTCTGGCGTTTTTAATTCCCGCCGTTGAATTGATTTACAAGTTGAAGTTCATGCCCCGTAACGGTATGTAAATTCGACATAGTCAGAAAAGCATTTGGATAGTTTTTGTTTCATGAATAATCTATATGAATTTATTCATATTAACTAATAAATGATAATAACAGTCGTTCAAATGTGAATCTAATTTTTGTCTAATATGTATAAAACATTTAATGCTATACAAATGATGCATTTAACGTTTCACTAACGATAATTAAATAGAAATCTTATATAGAGATGAATTAAAAGTAAAAGCTCTGTTAATAAGAATACAGCTGTCTCGACCCTTCTGATGATTCAATTCACAAAATCAGCAGGAGATTCTAATGGATAAATATTTTCAGGTACCGGTTGCATAATCATGTCTCCTACGAGGGAATTGTCTATGCAGACTTTCGGAGTTTTGAAAGAATTGATGAAGTATCATTATCACACGTACGGTCTGCTGATGGGCGGCGCCAGTCGGCAGACAGAAGCGCAGAAACTCGGAAAGGGGATCAACATTATCGTGGCGACGCCGGGACGATTACTGGATCATTTGCAGAACACGCCCGATTTTTTGTACAAGAATCTTCAATGTCTGGTCATCGACGAAGCGGATCGTATTCTGGATATTGGATACGAAGAGGAATTGAAGCAAATCATCAATATCCTTCCCAGTAAGTAATACATTATTTAAAAGCAGATTGTTTTTTTTTTCGATATTACATAAGTTATTGTTGCAGAACGTCGGCAAACTATGCTCTTTAGCGCGACGCAGACACAGAAGGTGGCGACGATAACAACGTTGGCCCTCAAGAAGGAACCCATATACGTGGGAGTCGACGATGACAAGGAAATGGCGACCGTGGAGGGCTTACAGCAGGGTTACGTGGCGTGCCCGAGCGAGAAAAGATTTCTACTCCTGTTCACGTTCTTAAAGAAAAACAGGAAGAAGAAGACGATGGTCTTCTTCAGTTCCTGCATGTCCGTTAAATATCATCACGAACTCTTAAATTACATCGATTTGCCAGTAATGAGTATACACGTACGTTATTGGATTTTTTTTATGATATTCGCGGTACTCTCGTTAACTCCCGACTTAGCGTTCGTGTTTTCATTGACAGGGTAAGCAGAAGCAGACGAAAAGAACCACGACCTTTTACCAATTTTGCAACGCTTCTTCGGGTATTTTGCTTTGCACCGACGTGGCCGCGAGAGGTCTCGATATACCCGACGTCGACTGGATCGTGCAGTACGATCCACCAGACGATCCCAAGGTAAAAATTGTCGCGTTGTTTTACTTTGCTTAAACGTTAAAAGAAGTAGAGAAATTCGATGATTTTCCTAATAGTAAACATAGATTAATGAGCATCGGTTTTTTTATATCGAATTTGTACGATTTTTAGGAGTACATCCATCGCGTTGGTCGTACCGCTCGCGGAGAGGGTAGCAGCGGTCATGCCCTGCTGATATTGCGTCCGGAAGAGCTTGGTTTCCTTCGTTATCTCAAGGAAGCTCGCGTACCCGTGAACGAATACGAATTCTCTTGGAATAAAATCGCCGATATACAATTACAGGTATACCATACATACATTATGATTTTTTCTTTCTTCAAATTTAACTTATTCTGACAATGAGTATTTTTTATTTGAACTGTAAGTTAAATGCTTTGAGATTAACCGAAACTGAGAGGCACTGAAACAAGCGTCAATTCGTGTGATTTCATCGCATATTTTAGAAGAGAATTGAAATATGCAATTCGTAATTTTTATTAAATTGCATTTTTTCAGAACCGATTTCGGTAAAAATACTATATAAAATATCTTTTTTTTTTAGCTTGAAAATTTGATATCGAAGAATTACTTCTTACACCAGTCAGCAAAGGAAGCGTTTAAGAATTACGTCAGAGCGTATGATTCACATCATTTGAAGCAGGTCTTTGATATAGAGACTCTGGATTTGGCGAAAGTTGCTAAGTCCTTCGGATTTGTCGTATCACCGGCAGTAGATTTGAGTAAGTTTTTTTTTTAAATTTAACAATAGAAGTTATATATCATTATACATATATAGTGGAAACACATATTCTAAATTTTGCAAAAGTGCAAAAGTTTTCTCTGACAAATTTATAACTTTTAAAATTCATAGATCATCTTCAAAAATTTTTAAACACTCTTGCATTCGAATTTCTTTCAATAACATATAGAAAAAAAACTGATTCAAGTTATCGCCTACATCTGGATTAATCAAAATCTAAATTACCACTTTTTCAATAGTAATCCAAATTGATAGGTTTGAGTCTTAAAACAATACGAATATGCGTCACCAGTTGTGTCAGCCAGTTAAACTTTCCTTTTTTTTAACTCCTATTTAACTTCTTAACAGAAGTGGGAATCAGTAAGGCTTCACGACCACGAAAGAGGCTCGGCGGAGGCGGTTACGGACATTTCAAAAACATAAACGACCCGAGTTCGGCAAAGCGGCTGAAACGCACCAAGACCTTTCGCCAGATAGGCAAACGTGGGCAGGACAATCGGCAATTCAGCAGATAGCAGTCATCATCCACGCGCAACTTACAGGCGTAGACGACGGACAATGGCGTACGATGGCGGCGCATCATTAGGGATCAATTTAACGTCATATTAATGCATCTCGGCGTGGTAATCTGAGAATCGACAAGTGTGACAACCCAATCTTCAACTTGATCGCTAGAAGACGACCCTTACCGCACTACCGGCAATTCGTAAATAAGATGCAGGCATCTTATTTAGGAGAGAAGCATACGTACAAATCGTACTTTCTCATATGGAGTCGAAATAAACTATCGAATCGTATGTATTATGTATAATACTGTAAATAATTTTAGTAAAAAAATCATAAGTGAAGAGATCGCATTTAAGTGCTCGTTGAACAGCATTCCTTTGTGTGCGAATCTTGGATATGAGAACATTTGAGATATCATCAAGACTCACTTGAGGTATTATTGGTATTTATCATGCATCAGTTTTAGATTTAACATTCGCTTTAAGTCATGAAGCCTATTCTTGGCTTGTTCTTGGCATTTTCTTCTTAATGACTCTGAATTGTCCTGTTTTTCCTAAATTTTTTTATCGAATTAGTCAGAATCTACAAATGCGTGCAGTTTTTTTCATCTCTTCGTTCGAAGATTCGAAGATTACAGAGACGGGAATGGAAGAAGGATGCGGAGTAACAGGGGAAAAAGTCCAAGACGAAGTATAATATATAACGCGCGACACCCACACGGTTTTCACGATGAGGCCATGTACGGACGCGTGACGTCAACGTCACTTTTGCATTCGCCGGCGTGTGCGTGCGTGCGTGCGTGCGTGCGTGCGTGCGTGCGCGCGCACGCGCGTGTAGGCGCTGGATACACGGCATAGAAGGTAAAGTCTGTGGGAGAACACTAAAGAGGCGGTATAATCGACGCGGTCGATCGATCGGCAATCACACCTTGAATTCGACCTATGCGCGACCCGTTCCATCGCAATTTTGCCGGCGATTTTTCTGAATTTTTCGGAATCGGACGATTGTAATTGAACAGGATCTAAGAATAGAGAGACGCCTCGCAGAGTTTAACAGTTTGAATCTAGATTCACGGACTTCATTTCGACTTTTCGGTTATTAATAAAATCATCAATCTCTTATTAAAATTGCGATTACGAATGTTAAGAATATAAAATTGTTTCTTAAGATTCACCTGTTTTCAAGACTAATATTGATCGAAGTCAAACAGACGATAGGGCCTAAGATTCGGATTATCCGGATAATCCCCCTGGATTCGAACACCTGGATTTGAATGATAATAATCATTTCAAATCAGAATATTATTTGGATATAACTCTATTGTGAATAGGAAGTCACATCTTTGAATTTAGTTTTTCTTATTAAAATTTTGATAGTTTAAAATAATATTTAATAAGATTATGACATTAAAAATAATTTTTTTACATTAAAATAATATTGGTTCAGTTTATTCTAATACTTTGCTTTATAAAGTAGACGTTAAAAAATGTAAGAAAATTCCTAATTATGTGGAAGAATTTTTACCCGCAGTATAAGTATTAATGTAAGAAAAATATGAGTAGAATTCCAAGATTAATCGTTAACCGGCTTGCTACTGTTCATCTCGTTCTACTTTGCAGTCTACTTCAATAAAATAGACAAAGACGTCAGACGAATAGAAGAAATACTCAAACATACTATTAGTCCCGAGCGAAGTCTCGATCCGTATCTTTTTGCGGTTGAGGGGGACGAGACGAGGGGAGGAGGGAATGTGCGCTTTGCTTCCTTTCTGCGCGCTTAAACCATTCCGCAACCGCTAGCGCTCCCTTAAGCGGCCCGTAAGGAGTAAGGACAAACCGGTGAGCGCGCGCCGTTGACACCATTAGCTGTCAACGATGACTACCTCATAATGGCATTTCCAATGATAATCCGGCCGGATAAAAATTGCAATAGTGCAATTCCTCCTACGGGATCGGGGGCCGTTTACACACCTCGTATAAAAGCACGCCTCGCGCGAGAGGAGCGTGACGCGCTGGAATAAATTTTTCTATTTATATTCCACTATTTATAAATAACGAAATGTGACCCGGTATTTGCAATACCGTTCGTTAAACCGATTTATCATTTTTCATCTGTTCTGGCTTTCCGTTCACATGGCAACTCTCCTCGCAACCTTGAAGTTGAACGAAAATGTCTTATGTCGCACTTCTATTAATATCGATTAACTTTAACTCACTTGATCTAACTTACTTTTTTGTGTCATTTCAGTTCTAAGAATTGAAAAACAAAGGATAAGGAATAAATTAAAATTAATTTGACAAAAATGGACATAGCTCCGAGAGAGCGATATCACGATCGTGGTGGCAAAGAGATCATCCGCGTTGAGATTAGCCGTCTCTGAGATTAGCAAAATTCTCCAAAAAAAAAAAAGGAGGACGAAGAAGACGACGGAATAAATCTCGATTAAGCGCGCGTCGTTAGTGCACGGCACGTGCATCGTTAAATATATGAATCGGCGACACGCTCGCGGCGTATCACCTTGTACGTTCACGCCTTGGCCGACGCGCACGTATATCGCAAGCGGGTAGATAGAAGTTATTAATTATGCATTCTAAGGCACGCCGCGGAGAGCTCCGGGGAGATCGTAACGATGTTGCGCACCGTTGATGTAATGCACCGATCTCCGTTGGGAGAGGCCGCCCGGTTGCGCACTCAGGATATGTTCCTTCACGGCCCATTTTTTTTCTCTCCTTGCAGCCGCTTTCCGCGCGCGTTCCTCTTCGTGAAGTTCTCTCTCGGGACGATTGTGACTGGCGAGGAAACGTACCGCGTACCCTGTCTTGTCAATCGACACGTTATTCATTCATGCGAAAAGTTCATGTATCTTGAGCCTCCGACGGAACATATCATTGCACGTGTGTTCCCACGTGCATGAAGAATATATCTGGTAAACATTGAATCATTAGCGTCAAAACTCGCGCGTTTTAAGGGGATTGTTTGAACTTTTATATAAAAAAAAATAGTGCGACAGATACTATTATAAAATGTAAAACTTTATTTGTTCCGAAAATAAGTTTGTTTAATATGCTCTAAAAATTTTCGGGCTATATAGATTTGAAAGGTTTGACGCTGCGCGACGTTTGATTAATCGAACGATGATTCTGATAATACAAATTTTAATTGAAATTTGTTTAACGTTTTATTACATATATTTTTATGTTTTACAAGTTGAATTTATATATTTTGCAATCTTGAAAACGTCGCGATACAATTTTTCATTAAAATTTGAAGATATTTTATTTTTTGTACAATTATATTGAATCTGTTATTTTTGTATTTGGCGGCCGCTCTAAAAAATCCCGCAACGATTTAACTAGAATATGTAAACATTTTATTTTTCATACTGCCGTATTGGATTTTAAATTTTTATATCTTGATTTCATTTTCCTATTTAGCGATCCCAAAAATCTTTAAAAATGATTAGACTAGACATGTTCTTGAGAAAAGTTTAACGTGAAAGGGTTAAAGTCGACCAGCTTGTATGCGCGCGCATGTCGTCGCGTGAGAGATCCGGAGCCAAGATTAAAAATTGTAATTGGAAACCCATGTGGCTGTGGGGGATCGCCGGAAAGGTTTTGGAGGAAGTGAGCCTCCTCTTGGGAATCTCGCCAACGTTTTATCTGACTTCCAAATTCAGAGAATGAAACCGCACGATTGCGTATGTTGCATATAAAATATGAATAATGCGCATCATCCTCGGCGATAGATCCGCGGTGGCCGTGAAGGACCGCGCATATCTGAAAAACAAAAGATGGAATAATTCGCCTCACGCACACACGCACGACGACGTCGCGTTAAGAGAACGGCGGGATGGTGCGTTGGCCCGTGGACGCGCGGGCCTGAATTATCCAACTCCGCCGCGACACACACGATGGCGTGGCGCTTATCTCCCTCTCGCTCCCTCTCACTGTCCGTCCCTCTCGCTCTCGCTCGGCGCTCGCGCGCGTATGCAGAGGCCGTATATGGTAGTGGGCGGTAGACGCATGGCGAGGCAACGACGTGAAGTAGCGCGGCGTGCGTAGCGCGCATGCGCGTAGCGTGCCCGCGCCTCGGCCCGACTCGGGCCCGCTCGGCTCGGCTCGGCGCGGGTGCGCATGCACGGGCGGGTGCAATCAGTAGAGCCGAGAATTCCAAAGCGCGTGTACTTACTTCTTGAATTCCCGCGATCCGCATTCCGATTTTAACCTCCTCACGCGGAGCGCAAGCGAGCGAGAGAGAGAGACGTATCACCACCATTATCTCTACGCACATCTGATCCTCTCTCTCCCCCTCCCTTTGCCGTTTCTCCCTGTTTTTCCTTTCTTTCCAAAACTTCGTCGATCGTTCTATTTATCTCCGACGCTTCTCTCCCTCTCTCTCTCGCTCTCTCCTTTTACCTTCCTACGCTCCTTCTCCCTCTCTTCTGTCTGTATCTCCCTCCCTTCCTTCCCACCATTGCTCCCACGTCGCTTCTCGCGATTTACTGCGGGCGCGCGTTTACACCACTGTGGGATCGTTCCTGAAAAAAACGCAATAGTCAACTGTGACGACGTGAGTGTGTGTGAGAGCGGGCGCGCGTTTCCTCGAACCGGAGGAAGAGGGAGAGAGAGAGAGACTAGCCCGCAATTAGACAGTAGACAGTCCAGCGCGGCCGAGTCAAGCTAGAATAAAACGGGAGGAAAAGCGAGAGGCGTCATCAGAGAGTCATCCTCCGGCGGAGCTAATCGGGGAAAGATCGACGGAATCGGGCTAACAGGAGCGGAGCCCCCCGGTCACGTCGCCGGGAAAAATAAATAAACAGGGAAAAGAAGAAGAGAAAAGAAAAGCGAAGAACGAACCGCGTACGCGGCAGACGAGGCGACTTTACGACTCTCTCGATCGGAGGAGTGTCGCTCGCCCTCGCGCGTTCGCTCTCCGGCTCATTCCTCTCTCCTTCCTCCTCTCTCCGCGCTCGCGCCACCCCCGCTTCGCTCGCGGTCCCACCACGCTCTAGCGGGAGTTTGCCTCTCCATTTCTCTCTCTCCCTTCTCCCCCCTCCTCATCCCTCCCCCTGCCGCTATCTTCCTCCGTCTTTCCCCTACTTCGCCGTGTCACCGTCCCCCTTCGTCGCGCTGCGCCGCCGCCGCCACCGTCGCCGTCGCCGCCTTCGCTCCGGCTCCTTTTCTTTTAAACGCTCCTTCGTCAGTACGTCTCCGCCCGTCCGCGCGTGCCTGATGCTCTCCCCGTGACCGGAGAGAGAACAACTCCGCCGTCCGTCGTCCCGACACCGCGCCGCCGCCGCGCACCGTCGCGGTTCGCTCACTCGCCTTCCCCCTTTGAGTGTTTGCATTAAGCGTGCCCGCGCGCGCCCAACACGCGCCAACATTCGCCATTGAAGCAGCCGAGTACAATTTGCGATGTGTGATAATACTAACACGACGACGCAGAGTATAGCGGACTACCTGTCACAGTTGCTGAAGGACCGGAAGCAGCTAGCTGCCTTCCCAAATGTCTTCATTCACGTGGAGCGTCTGCTGGATGAAGGTGAGTGACAATTTTTCCTTTTCTTTTTTCTTACACCGTTTTTTCTTTTCTCTATTTCTCTCTCTCTCTCTGTCTCTGTCTCATTTTTTGTATCCGCCTCCGACGTGCGTGTCTCTCCGCGGCGTCGCGTTATGCGCGTTCGAGCGAGATCGTTAATCCGGTACGCGAACCGGGAAAGGTCGAAGGTAAGGTTTCCGGGAAGTCCAGAAATAAATGTAGCCGCGCGCGGCCGAAGTAGTGTGCGCGTCCGAATTTGATCGGGGCCCACTCTCTCTCTCTCTCTCTCTTTCTCTCTCTTTGCCCATTCGGTCGCGCAAAACCGCGAGGATTTCGTCGAGGCGCGCCATTTTGCGCACTCGCGCGCCTCCGAACGCGCGCCCGACGATGAATTTTTCATCGTGACGTAACGCCCCAGAGATCGCGTGTTTTCCTTTTTTCCTTCAATCAAGCCGCGTGAAGGCACGTCCCTCGGCTCGCCCATCTGGATCACCGTCCGTTGAGTCCGTTCCATTTGTCGCCCTGCAGCAGCGTTATACAAAACTCGTTGTCGTCAATTTGAAATGTCGTAGATCGAAATCGATTGGCCCATAAATTCATATCAGCTATCAGCGAATTCCTGCGACTATGAATAAGGCGTATACAGGGTGTCCCGGAAAGCCGAACTTTCGGAGCGAGCGAATCTGTGGGTTCGACGGGGCATTTAATTCTCGGCACGACCGCGCATCTCTCTCGAACGTCGATCATCGGACATCGGTCATTCGCGACTTCGCACGCGTAATTTCGAGGACGGATTGATCGGGGGAAGAAAAGGAAAAATTATAATACCGCCGGCGCCGGCGTTTCTCAGCGATAAGAGAGCCGCGTTTCCGTGGCGAGTGTATATACCGAGTGTACACTCGGTGATCGACCTCATTCCCGTGGTTCGCGTGGTACGTGTATCGCGAAAAAAAATGACACCTCCCCCTCCTCGTTTCGCTTTCCCACCCCACCGCTCGAGCCCGTGATACGGTTGTCGGCGATACCTCCGTCCGAAAAAATCCCGCTCGCGCGAGGGGCCTCGTGTAACACCCTGTGTTACAGGTGTCGGCGTTACCACCCTCGTGTATGTGTGTGTGCGTGCGTGCCTTATCCGCGCCTTTCGCTATCGCGACACGCGGCGCGTGTGTGTCACGTGGCCGGAGCGGCGACGGCGTGCTCGTCCGAGAATCGCGACGGGGCCTCATTGGTTCAATCGATCCCTCCACGGGTACGTTTGACGGTGAAAAAATATGTTTATTCCTTGCGGCTGAAAATATGTTTATTCTCGTGCCTTTCGTCTTTCTTCTCTCCCTCTCCCCGTTCCGACGCGACCAGTTATGTACACGGAATTTTATTTTTTTAAATTTACCCTGAAAATCATGTTAATCGTGGGACAACATAGTACTTCGACAAATTTTATGTGATCTTCACTATTTAAAATATACTTTTTATCTTCACTTTTTAAAATATATATCACAACAAATTTATTGTAGTGCGCAGTAAAAAAACAGAAAAAAATTGCATATTTGTTGAAATACTATGTTGTCCCACGATTAACATGATTTTCAGGGTAAATTTTAAAAGGAAATTCTCCTCGTGTACATGTTTTATTTTAAGTGCGAAAAGTAGCACCGCTACGAAGGTGCACGGAATACGGGATCGTGTAACTTTTTCTCGAGGTCGGAAACGCATGAAAATTTTTACTATTGAAGTCAATGGAAAAATTCTCACTTTCCGCTCTGGAGAAAAAAAAAGTGAATGGGGCCCACATCGTTAATTGGCCAATTTAATGCAAAATTTTCTGATTGGTTAATCCAGTAAAAAATTCCATCGAGCACCAGTCGCCGTAAATGGTTGTCGCACTGTAAACGGTCAATCGCAACGCGGTCAAACGGGACGAAAAAGTTACACAATCAGTATTCCGATCTAGTGTATCGACGAAGTAATGCATTGTCGTGTTTTTATTAACGAGATAGATAATAATTATATGACTTAAATCACGAATGATACGAGAAGTTTATACGGGTAAAAGTTGAAGAATGTCTCAAAAATCGTACCTTTCGAGCGACAAACCGACCGATTCGAAATCTCGGTGAAACGTGTGCCAATCTTTGGTTGACAGTAGAGGAAAGTATGACGCGAAATAAGAGAATACGCAAACAGCTCTCGCGACGTCGTGTAAATCCGCGAACGGAGCTGCATTCCGAGCGATATCGACGTAAACGATGATGAACTGCGTGGCAGTTGTTTAGTCGCGCGTGAAAAAATTTGTAGAACAAATATGCGTGAGTATTCCGCGAAAGGACGGGCCTTTACATATTTAACAAGTCCATTTGAAATTATCGCTAGTAATGCGCCAGTAATTTGATAGTTGGTCGCGTTATCACGAGGGAACACGCGAGTATGGAGTAGGATTACTGGAGTAGACTCGCATCTGACATTTATGACAACGATATGAATGCGCGTCAAGGATTTTTTTTCTACTTGTCTTACATCATATTACGTACTAACGTTACGTGTAAGTAACTTGCGATAAAAATCGAGGTTCTGTCTGTCGGAAATATTCGACGCTCAAACATAATATTGTAATTACTGTGGTTACAGTTTTCTTTTTTTTCTTTTATTTTTTCCTAGTTTTCTTGCAAGTAAATTTATTGGTTCTCATCCATTATTGATCATTGTATTATAGGTTTTTTAAAAATAAATTCGTGTATTCTGAACGTCTTTTTTCTCCTCTTCTTTCGGTTATTCTCCGATCTTCGGACGCGCTCGATTTTCTGATCTCCTCCTCTGCGTAGCATTCTTTTGCAACAATTTTATCTCTCTGCTTTATTTATCTGAAAATCTTCGGATAACCGGCGGTTTCGCTCTGCGTCGTCTGAGGCTGCGAAATGCCCGCGCACATCTGTGTTTGGAATCGATTTCAATCGACGAAACGATACGGCGAGTGAAAGGAACTCGCGAGCGATACCGCGGTAAATATTTATTTATACGCTCTGGTTGTACCGCTTAGCGGCAGCACTTGTCGGTCGTGTTGTGTTGTTTTCGCTCGTCGTCGTTTTGCATGATGTGGTGGCGGCGATGGCGATGGCGATGTTGCCCGGCAGCATCATCGCCGTCGAAATCGGCGGAGATTAGCGCGCGCATCAGCGTGCGTTCACGGCGCGGATCCACACGTATTTACGCGCAGAAAAGACGCTGACCTCGCTGTAGCGCCGTATAGGAACCGCTTCGTTGGGCACTCTCGATATACTCCTCGCCTCTCCCCTCGCTTCCACCGACCTCCCCGACAACTCGATACACCGCTCACCAGATCTCCGATCTCCGTTCTCGCGGAATAGGCCCTGGGCGCGTAAACTGCTCGATTCGCAAGGAACTCCCGGGGTTCGCGTCTGTAGCGAAAAAGACCTTTTTTCCTCTCTCTCTCTCTCTCTCTCTCTCTCTCTTTTTTCCTTTTCTCTTTCCTTCTCTCTTAACCGCACGCGTGTCGTGCACGCGTGCACAACCTGTCCCTAACGAGGTGGCGTGCCCGCGTGCTTCCGCGAGCGAACTGCACCGGCGGTTAATGCCGTGTTCGACGAAATTGGCATTCCGTCGTGCGGCGGAATCGCGCGGCCACCCGCTGCGCCGTCGCTCGTCGCTTTGATGTCTGTAATTCGCCGCCACGTCGTGTTACCCGCCTCCCCCTTGCTCCTCCCCGTGTGTAACAACTGTCGTTACCCGGAATTATGATTCTTCAACGATGATTCTTCCTTTAACCCGATAAGGGGATACACGCGTGGAGATACGTAATTTCTTGCAAATCTGCGTAAATTGTATCGCTCCGATAATTCTCTCGATTAAAGAAAGTCAACAGGAAGTGATATCGCAATCGGATAAATTTGTCGCTCGTGCCCTCCTTCCCCTCCAGTCTCTCTCCTTCGCCCTCCCCTCCGCATCTTCATCCTCTCTGCACGATCTTCTTGGAGCGAGTCCTCGATTTCCGATCGACGATTTATCGCGTCGTAGCGCGAATTACATTCGCGAAGGTGCGGATCGCCTAAGGACGCGTTCGGCTTTGGAAAGTCGGGAGAAAGCTGTGTGTCCGCTCATTTTGTTTTACGCGCTGGAAAGCAATGCTGCATCGCACACGGGAGACGAGGAAGGGGGAAGACACTTAATATTCCCAAGGAGCGCACCGCGAGCCCACGTTCCGCACAAAAGGAGGAGAGTCAACGCTCCCCGCAACGCCAAGTCCTTCAAATGTTAACGGGATTGGGAAAGAAAATATTTTTTTTTTCTCCTCTTTGTAATTTGTCGACGATCGACACAATATACTTTCTGCCAGCTTTCTGAATCATCTTTTCATTTTAATCCGTTTGGAAAAAGTATTTCGACCGTGTGCAAATTTGATCGCAGCGAACGAGGCTTTTTTTTGGTCTAAAATAAACCTGGACTTGATGCCAAGGTTAGAACTGTAGGGTAAATCTGACGAAAAAGTTTACATCTCACAGTTTATGGGTGGCTCACGGATGATGGTTTTCCAGACTGTACCTACGTGACGACCTAAATTGAATTTTGAAGGAGACAAACGAATTCCTGACTTATTTTATTTTAAGCCTCATTCGACAACAGCACGATAGTCGGGTGTGAACAGGTTCCTTTACCCGAGGGAAATCGATGTGAAACGCGCATTTACAAACAAATATCACCGTCGCTTTTCCTGTTTATTTTCGATTTTCGTTCTTCGCATTATTTGTATACGATGTAGAAGGCCGCACAAGACACTCTTTTCGTTATCCTGTTTTTCTTTGAAAGCTCGTTGAAATCTCTATTGGTCACGTTCCTTCGTTCACGAGGATAATTCGTTGCGCAATACCTGTTCGGCGATACCTGTTAGCTCGCTCGTGCTTATAATGAGCCCTCGCTACAACTACGGAATTTGACTTGTCCCGTATTAGGTAAGACCGAGAGCAATAATTTACCGCAATCATCTCGTCTTT